CTTTTTATCTTTCTCAAAATGTTTTGCTTTTTTTCACTCAATTTCTAATTAAACGGTTTCTAACTTCTTATCAAATATAGGGTAAAGCCGGGAAAGGTGGACATTTACTCATCAGAATATACAATTCCTGGATAAGTGAAACGACTTTTATAAAAGATGAAAAATTCTCGATTAAAATTTTTCTTTTTTGAGGTTCAGGTATATCTTGACAGTACCTAAGCTTTTATTTTTCTCAAAATGTTTTTTTTCGATGAATTTTTAAGCGTTTACAAACATCCAATCTTAACAAAAATAAACGAATTTCTAAATTTTTATCAAATATAGGGTAAATCCGGGAGAAATGGATTTTTGCACCTCAGAATGTGTTTTTATTTTGTTAGTTTTATAAGTTCCTGTTTGAGAAAAAATATTCGTGGTTTAAGTAGCAACTATAATTTTACAGCAGGTATGTATTTCAAGATGTGGTCCATGTCTCTCGGACTAACCCTATAAAAAAATTCAATTTCAAAAATTGATTGTTTCCAAATTTTCCAGAATAAAAAAGTTACAAATTCCTAAAAAACGTTTTAGAAACAGAAATTTCACTCTCTGATCTTGACTCATTAGTTAGCACTGTTTTATACTGAATGTTTAAAAATTTTATTGGCCTTTTGTAGGTTTTCTAATTTTCACAAATTTGCTACAACTACATTTGAGAAATACTGTAACAATAGTTCTGTAGAAATCCCATTAAAAAATAACACTCAATGTTTATACAGGATGCCCAATCAATCATACAGAATGTCTCAAAAATGTGTAACAATTTTGCTCAGTTTTTAATTGAAATAGGTGACAAAACATACTGTTTAAACGAGTCTTTAAATCCCTATCAAATATAGAGTAAATCCGGGACAGTTGGACTTTGAATCTTATAGAACCGTAATTATTTAAACAAATTGTTCAAAACAGTGTTATTTTTGTCTTTTTTAAAATTTTTGTTGTGTTAGATTTTCTGTTGAGCTTTTTCTTTTATGGACAATAGAATCCGTTGTACCGGTTGTGCATCCACCCCTTTGGGGCCGGTTCCTCGGCCGCCCCTGCTTGGGCGTCTCCCAATAAATCACCGTCCACTTCTGACCAATGGTCTGTCCACGCCATCTGCGTAAATTACCCTTGATGAAAATCCACCTAATCCCCAAAAAATCTGCACCACCCCTCTTAAAACGTCATTATTAATTCTGACAAGTCGAATAATAACAAACAGTCAAAGGTACAAATGCCTCCCGCGGGGTTATTCGAGCTCACCCTTCCTCACTCTCAAAGAAAAAACACAAAGTTACAGATGTCGCCGAAAAAACTCATAACGACATAATTTTCGCACGCCTTTCGGACAAAGGCCACCCTTTGCCCCCGTCGAGAGGGCGGGAATCGATTCATTTTATTAGTTAGAAACGGGTCCTGATTCAATTTTCCTCTTTCAGGTGCACATCAAAGCGTCGTTCATCATGAACGGCGTGTGCGTGAGATGGCGGGGGTGGCTGGACTTGGAGCGTCTCGACGGCGTCGGCTGCTTGGAGTACTGCGAGGAGAGGGCGGCGCAGGAGGACGCCCTCCTGCGGGAGCAGATCGAGAGGTACAACCAGAGACTGAGGGAGTTTGAGGACAAGCAAAGAGGATACAGACAACAGGACCGGCCTGACCAAGACCTAGAGGTACGTGTCGGGGGAGCCCTCCACCAGAGAAACTACATGAAGCTGTATTGAGTCCCGATTTTTTTTATTTTTGTAAATATTTATCGTTGATGTTGACGTTATTTTAGTTACCCGATTTGAATGCAATATGTAAATAAACGGATTTTTCACGACTTTTTTGTTTCATTTTTTGTTCTTTTCGTTGCTGAAATCCTTTAAGTGGGAGCGTCGGACCGGAGAATTGGGGATTAGATTAAGACCGGAGCAATGTTTCAGTACCCGTTTTTGCTTTCAGGCGATACTGAAATCTGTTTATTCACCATGGTGGCTCCCACGCAGATTTCCCGATTCGCCCCAGGGATGCATTAAGTTCTGATGGGCCGTAATCCGATTTGATCTGCACCTGTTCACGTTTCAAACAAGTTCATTAATATCAGAATTATTTTTGGCATTTTTAATGTTGATAATGGTGACATCACCCTCCCATTGCCAGTATAAACTCTTTTACCATTCTCGTAACGTTAAATACTATAACATTTAACCTTGTTTTTTTTAACAGGCTTCTTAATTACAATAGGAACTGGTATTTTATAAAATGCCTAATATTTTTCAGTTTTTTACAAAGCGACTGAATGTATCCAGTAATTTTTTAAATGGTAAATATTAAAAAACATTTTACAATAAAACGAAAACTGATTAGGCTTTTTATAGTAAGCCTAAAATTTTCCGCCATAGTGTGAAAAACCCTGCATTTATTAATTCATTTACAATTTGCCCAGTCGTTTACAAAGTGACTAGGCGTTTTATAAAACGACTGAATTTGTAATTAGCCTAAACAAACATTTTGACAATAAAAGCCACAAATAACATTAAACAGAGTTACAGTTTAGGATACAGCTTCCTTGTTTCCATTTCTAATAACCTGTAGCAAAAAAAATTAGAAAATTATTTTTTCCAACAGAAATAAATAGAATAAAAGTGCAAAATTTAAACTCTCATAACTTCGAAATTTTTATAGATAGAATTTTTTTTTAATTATTTTCGTGTTCCTGGTACCTTACCCTACGCCGCATTTTTCTTTGGGTCGCGAGTTCTGGCGCACTTTGTATGTGCTTATCATGTAGAACGTGACTCCTTCAACTTTTAGAATCGCGATATCTCAGGAATGGTGATTCTTAGAAAAAAAGTATTAGAACCATTTTTGTAGATAATTGTAAGATCTATAATTTTTGTCTGGGCTACTTTTTTGATAAAACTTACCATTTTCGAAAAAAATTTAAAAAACCTCAAATTTTGACGATTGACCCCGAATAACTTTTTTAGCACACATGGGATCGATGGGGACTTTTGACATTTTATTCCTAATGGTGTACCCAAGATCTCCACCAAAATTTAGCTCTATCGGAATTTTTGTTATTTGAAATGTCTATTTTGACCGGACTAGTTAGTAAGGCCAAAGAGCGCAGTTGTTCCTTTCCCGTTTAAGTTTTAAGAGCAATGCAATAAAAACATGGCTGTATTTACATAACAGTGAGCAAAACGCAAATAAAAAAAATATAGACAGTTAGAGCATTAAATTCTCAATAATAAGAGATAAAGGTAATGCAAAAATTTTATTGAAAACTATATTTAATAAAATTTCAAATATTTAACAATTTGCGCCCCGTCTCATATTTTTGAAAATGCTGCAAATACGGTTAAAAGTACAAGACAAATATAAAAAAAAGTTGTAGAGAATAATATTTTCAAGAAAAAAGTCGGCGGAAGATACCTCTATCTTCAATTGTTTAGGTCCTAAAGACGTTCAAAAACGCTCAAGTGACGAATACGTGTCATTTTTACCGGTGGTCAAGAGACAAAAAATTAATTTAAACCTAAACAGTTGACGATAGAGATATGGTCTCGTGGACTTTTTTGTAGGAAATTTAATTCTCTACAACTTTGGTCCCTACACTTTTTTTGTATATTCAACCGTATTCGTAGCGTGCTCAAAAATATCGAAAACAGTATTATAAACAATTAACAGTTTGCGTTCCGCCCAATATTTTTGGGAACGCTGCGAATACGGTTAAAGATACAAAAAAAGTGTAAGAAACAAAATTGTAGAGAATAAAATTTGCTACAAAAAAGTCCGCGAGACCATATTTCTATCTTCACCGGTTTAGGTTTAAATTGCTTTAAAGTGTTCCTCTGGCACTGAATCACTAGTGAAAATGAAACGAATCCGTCGCTTGAGCGGCTTTGARCGTCTTTGAGGCCTAAACCATTAAAGATAAAGGTATGGTCTTGCAAACTTTTTACTAGAAAATTTTATTCTCTACAACTTTCTTTCTTACATTTTTCTTGTATCTTCGGAGCACAAATTTTAAATTTTAAATATTTTTTTTCTCTCATATTTCTCGTGAAAAATTTAGTCGTTCGTGTTTCACGGCTTATTAGGAATGTAAAGCTCAACATTTTTGCATTTTTTCCAAGCAATTAGTAGACTGGTTGAATTTAAATTAATTTAAAACGATTTTAAACTGAGACGGTAAAACTTATAACTTTTTTGGGTCCAAGCAATTTTGTATCTCGTTTCGTCTCCTAGTATGTAGTTCCCCGTAGTCGCAACAAATCGAATATAATAGAATTGGTGAAAGTTTCGTTGCTTTGAGGCAACAGTGACAAAAACCCGCTTGGGAAAGGTGCAACACGTGTAGAATGAATCGATTTGTCAATAGTTTTTTTCGAATTCCGTTGTTGTGGAAAAAATCACAAGTTACCCAACGTGTTAATTGCTGCAAGACAAGTTCTTGAGTATCGTTTTTCGTATTGTCATGGATGGTGATTTTATCGTGGGAATTTATTCACTTTTTAACGGAAATGAGCAAGTCGAAGCAGTTTTGTACTAATAGGACATTAAGAAATGTTTGAGCAAGTGAATTTTACGCATCGGTGACTTAATAAAATGCCTACTTATCGTGTTGAGTGGGTGTTGTACCTTAATGGGCAGCAATTGGGATGCTTTCAAAGGACGATTATTGTCCGGAAAGTAGGGCATTTAACTTGGATGCCTCAACAGACAATATCAAAATCTAAAAATATAGGGTAATTCCGGGAGAGAAAGACCACTTTTTGAAAAATCCGCTGTAAATTATTATCTTTATTTCAATTCAAACCACGAAATTTTTTCTCATAGCTTGACTTCAAAAACACATTCTTTTGAATAACAAAATTAATATATTCTAATGTGTAAAAGTCCAGATTTACCCTTGATAGTAATTCAACACTTTGTTTGATTTTTTTTTGAGATTCGATACTTGTAAACGCTTAAAAATTTAATGAAAAAAGTTAAAATTTTCAGACAAAAAAAAAGTTTATTTTCACGTTAAAAACATGATTTTTTAATTTTTGATAAATCTAAGACCAATAGGGTGAATGCGGAATATTCTTATGCCCCCCCCGGGATACCCCAGTATTTAAAACATAAAATAATACAGTGGAAAAGAGAAAAAAGAAAAAAAATATTACTTCCTTCCCTTTTTCCATTGAAATAATTTGTTTACATTTTAATTTAGTTTTTCAATCCCAACTTAATTAATCCCACTTTTACTCACTTTTTTATTGACGTTTGACACTTTTTCTGTGTTTTTTATTCAGAGGGGGCTCTTGTTTATGCATTTTTATTTATTTCTGTTTTTATTAAAAAAAAATTAAGATCGAGGGTAAATGTGGGATACAAAAAAATGGTAAGATACCAGAAACATAAAAAAATATTTAAAAACTTCTATCTATAAAAATTTCGACATTGTAAGAGTTTAAAGGTTGCACTTTGACTCTATTTATTTTTGTTGGAAAAATAATTTTCCAAGTTTTTTTGCTACATGCTATTAGAAGAAGAAATATCCTAAATTGTAACTCTGTTTAATGTTTTTGTGACTGTTATTGGCAAAATTTTTGTACCTTTACTAAATAATTAAAAAAAATATACAAGATTATCAGTATTATTAAATAGACATAAAAAAATTTCAAATGTCAAAAAATAGAACAAATTTTTTGAGACAGAATTTTTTAAACATTTTTCCATGTTCCTGGTACTTGACGTTTCTGGCGCACCCTGTATACTCCCTTCAATAGTTTTTAGACTACAAAATATGTATAGTAAAAAAAATAAAGAAAAAACTATTCTTTTTCCTTTGAAATAATTTGTTTACATTTTAGTTTAGTATTTATTAAAAAAAAAACATTTTAACAAAATTTTTCGTCGAAAAACACGTCTCATCGACATAAAAATTTGTTAAAAAAATGTAAAAAACCGAGAATTTTAAAGACTTTAGAAAAATAACATCAACAAATCACTTATTTTCTATTTAAAAATGTTGTCAAATGGAATTTGATTGATTGAATAAAATTGGTTTAATTTTAATAACGTTTATTTTTTAGATTTTAAAAGTAAATTTAATTGATTTAAATAGGCTCAATTTTAATATATAGTGTAATTTTTCAAAATCGTGGTCTAGTTTTTAAGAATTATTGTTACATTTAAGCTTATAATGCGATGTATGCAAACGCTTCAGAATTACGTGAAAAAAGTAAACTACTTTGAAAAAAATAAAAGTTGATTTTCACATTAAAAACATAAGAATTTTTCAAAACTCTGAACTCGAAGTTTTAAAAATAAATTAAAACTAGCTAAGTTTTAGAACCCAAATAAAACTTTTGAGGTAAGAAAGTTAGTTTTTAATAATTATACAATTAGCAATGATTTGAAAGCACAAAATCTACTTTTTTATTACAATTTTAAGTTTCTCAGTAGAGAGTCAATAACAATT